CTCTGTTTGGCATCCGACAGCCGATCAAAGCCGCCCTGGGGGTCATCGGTTATCACCAGCGGGTGATAGTGCTCCGGCGAGTGGGGATTGTTGCCGCCGCGCACCTTGAACGTGTAGGTGAGGCCACGCTTCAAAAAGAGCTCGGGTATCATGTAGCCGTTGATGTACCAGGCCAGGCCGCTGGACACGTGACCGGTAAGCCCCTGATAGCCACGCAGACCACCCGAGGGACCCAGATAAGCATTGAAAGTCCGCACAGTGCTACAAAGGAGACGAATCATGCAGGAGAACAGACCTTTTCATGGCAGAGCATCTGACTTACGCATCCGTGATCCTTGTGCGCTCCCACAGCTGGACAGGTGCCTCTGTGCGTTTGGTGAAGGCGAAGCAATCGTTCACCGGCTCCGTGGTGTTAAAGTCGATCACTATGTCGCTCTTGGGATAATGTGTGTGAAACGCGGGCTCGTTGTTCGAGTCCAACTGGCCAAAGGCCCACACGACGTAGTTACTGCGATCCAAAAATATCTCCTTGTCGCCATCATCGGCTGCAGAGAGGATATATCAAAAGTTAAATCAGAGATTAATGTATCCTTGACAGAGGCCCCACTCACATGACTTGAGGATGCGTCTGAAGCTGATGGTATTGATGCCTTCCTTCCGGCTGTATGTGTTCAACTGGAAGCTGTCCAGGCCGCCCACCACATCGTCACGGCACACGCCCTTGTTCTGGCCGAGCACCTGGACGCAGGGCGCCAGCGAGGTGATGTTATAGTCAACGGTATAGCCCCTGATCTCATCGATGTAGGCCACCACAACATCGGAGCCGATCATTTGGCTGGAGACATCCGATCCCGATATGCCAAAGGACATGTAATCATTGGCAGCCACCTGGCCGGATAGCTGGAAGGTGATCTGTGGCCCAAACACCTCCCAGGACACTTGCAGGTCCTTGTGCAGCTGCCGGCAGTTGGGTAGAGTGAACTCAAAGGGCGTGACCTTCACCAGAGAGGGCGGAACATTCAGACCATCGTTGATGAGCACATGGCCATAGTTCTCATTGTCGGCCACGTCGTAGATGCTGATCCAATCGATGTCGAAGATGGTCTTATCGCCCGGCAGCTCCAGCTCAATGTTCTCCTTGTTGTACCTCCGAATGGGATCGAGACTGAAGCAAAGAATGAGACGGAATGATTAAGGATGAGCAGAACAATTGTATAGCACTCACTATCCCCGTTCGTCGGGCATTTTGCTGCCTCTGCTCGATGGCTGCGCTCCCACTCCCGTCCAGAAGAAGGTCCGCTTGCCGCGGCCATCGTACGTGAAGTCCTTGATGCGTATGGTCTTGGAGTCGAGGATCTCGATGCTGCTGCTGCTGACATTGTGGCTGCGCTTCGAGAAGGTGCCGCCCAGCTGAGGCCGCGGCGGCTCAAACTCCTCGGGTATATACACATCGCCGAAGTTGTTCTGGTTGTTCAGGTCATAGACGGCCAGCCATTTGATTTCCGTAATCTTCTTGCGATCGGGCAAACTGAGGGTAAAGTCCTTGTTGTGATACCGATCCAGGATGTTGGTTCTACAAGAGTATACCATAGCATATTAGAAACTAGAGGGAAAAATGAATCGATCCCACTTACTTGCCGTACTCGTCGGGCACTATGAAGCCCTGTGGCCCCGGCCGATTGCTGGCCCCCGACCAGAAGAACGTATCCGCTCCGTTGCCATCGTAATTGAAGCCCACTATCAGGAAGGTGTACTCATTCACGGCGTACACATCGCCGGACACCTGATGGTGATACGAGTTGAGTTTGCCCAAGTATTTTCCCCGATACGGTCCATCTTCTTCCTCGTCCTCGACTTGGGCCCCTGTGGATGGGATAAGAATGTTAGCTAAGAACCGGCCTCAGTGGTTTCGACGAAAGACTTTGGTCACAAACTCGTTTCCGGGTCTTTTCCTCGACTGACTAATGGCTTTTGATTTACTGCCACTGGGGCGGCGGCACAGCGCCCTCTCGCGGCCAGAGGCAGACCCAGACAGACGGTAGACCAGTTTCTCTAGTTTTACACGAAAGTGAATTTGTTTTTGCCAGCCTCAAGCGTAACGCTTGTAGAAATTTCTCTTTCTTTTTTTTAGCGTGTTATTGCAATTAATCGAGCTGCTCCCCCGACCCCTACTTACGGGCACTGTGTGGGACGACTGCAGCCAAGAAAAGCAGGAAAAGCGCCACACAAACCAGCTGTTGCTTCTGCAGTCGGCGTCGCAGTCGCAGTGGCTGAGTGCTGCTGGTGCAGCGATGACAAAGAACGCCACCGTCGCTGCCGCCTTGGTGTCTCAATGTCATTTTTTCTGCGAAGCGGACCTCTCTCTCTCCCACTCGTACTCCCACTTCCTGCGCCACGTACTGCTGTCGCGCCGTCTCGCTTTTACCAATCTCTCTCCGCTTTCGCTGTTTCACTCTCTACAGACTCCTCGCACAGGCAGCAGCAGCAGCATTTTGCATTTTTTGCATTTATGCAAGATTTTTCCTGGGTTTGTCTTAAGGTCGTTTCGTCACTTGCATGCGTTTGCGCTGCTATTGTATTGTTTTGTGTGTTCGATAGGCCAAAACAGGTTTGAGTCGCAGATCCGGCGTTTTTTTTCACTTTTTCTTCTGTTGTTAAAATAAACCAAATCGCGCCGCGTCTCTCAGTGGACTGAGCCGTCGACTTTAAGCCTCCGTTGGGGTCGGTCTTGGCGTGGCCGTTAATTTCGGTTACGTTTCTTTTGCAGTTGGAGCTGGTGAAGCTTTCGTACGTTGAGTGAGCTTTGTGCTCTCACCGTTGCTCTCTCGATCGCTGCGTCGTGTCGTGCGAAATGCGTGCCTGGCATTGCAATGGCCTAACGGTACTGGCGGCGTGTTCTAGGAAAAACGCGAGTTACACTCTAAGTTTTCTAGCCACTCATCCAAAACTGTATAGTTTAGATGCCAAGGGAACGTTGAAGCTGAAGATTCCTACGAAAATAAGTAATTTATCCAACAAGAGTCAAGATCGGTTTAATATTGCATATACTACTGAAGCAGAGGTACGAAAATCATCCAGTTATAAATCAATTGCTTAGGAGTAGTCAATGTACGACCATTTGCCATCCTAATATGTAGCTGATTCCGTCTCGTAATCTCACAACAAATACACAGTCCTTGGCGAGGCGCCAAGATCGAAAGATCCCACATCGTAGCATGATGGGAACGACTCAGTTACGCTGACGAGCTGGCGGTAAGTGATGAAGCATAGGGCGTCACGATCAAACCCCGCCATAGAATATCCAAGAAAAAAAACACACTTTTGGATTATTTTTGTCAATTTTCTTGCTTGCAAAACTAAATTTTATTCTTATGTTTTGGGTTTTATCCGATCTGATCTTTACTTTGAATAGCAATGCAATTCAATTAATGTTTTGAAAACTAATCAATTGCATTTTGTATATTTTCTCTGCCGGTTTGCCATCTGTTGGACAGTCTACTAGACTGTTTTTGGTTTTTATTTCATTTTATGAATGATTTTTTGCTTTTCTTCTCCTTTTTTATTGCGATTTTATTTACAAAAAGGCATTTATTGAAAGAATGTGCGTTGTATGGAAAGAAAAAAGAACAAAAACAAAACAAAATAGTTGGAAATTTGCAAACAAATCAAAAAAAAATAAATGACGAAGAAAAAAATATGTGGAAAAGTGTATACAATTTTTCAACCAATATTCTCACTGACTGTATATCATAAAAAAGTTTATGTTTCACTGTTCATCTGATTCGTTTATGTGTATATATATGCTAGCCGCTCTCTGGTGTCTCCTCTCCGTCCGGCATTTCTATCTCTTTCAGTTTCTCTTTGCCTTTGCTTTGTCCGTACAACTAGTTCATTGAAAATACAATATTACTTTTAAATATATATCATAATATATGTATACGCCATTATTCTCATAAGAAGCACAATTTATGGTTGTTTTAGTTTTTATTTCATCATTTTATGCTTTTACATTTTCAGTATTTTGAACTTGCCGCCATTCAGAAATTCTCGTTTAACATTTTTAGCGCATACTTTCTTCCTTTTATTTGTTTTGTTTTTTTTTTTTTAATTTACTTTCATTTATTGTTTGTTTATTTAGTTGTTAACACTAGACACTAGATAACCTATAAAAAGTGGGTCACTTTGCTTGCATTTCGTGATTAAAAAAGAAACTTTACAAAACAATAAACAGGCTGGAAAAAGTCTCGGTAAGAATGGTAAATGTTTAAATGGGTACAGGGAGGGTATATGGGTATATGGGAGGGCGGGGGGTGGGCAGGCAGGCAGGCTACATGTGAGAATCGGTCTTGGACGCACGCACGCATAGTCGAACTAAAAGTAGCAATACTTAGCTTAAAATGTAGCGTATAAAAATAGTTTTTCTTTTTGTTTTTTTTTTCCTTGATCTTGCGTTCTCTTTAGATAGTTATTAAATTAAACGAATTGAGAGCACTAAATTTAGGTTTAAACTTAGGCTGCGTTTGTTTTGCTTTATAAATGTGTTGTGTTTTCGTTTTTTTTTTTTATATTCATACTTCACTCATACTTGATCCGCACTGCCTCTGGATTCATCTTAGTGAATAAAAAACGTGTGTGTTTTTAAAATGAGCATTTTGAATTGTTTTTGCTGTTCAGAGAACAGGCAATGCCTGAGAGACAAGCTCCAGAGCTAATCTGATGAGATACAAAACTTAGACATCATCTCTCTCTGAAATTGTAGCATGGAATGAACTTGGTCGAAAGCGCATAAACAATCAGATATACATATGTATATATGGGTGTGTGTGTGTGTGTATATATAGAGAAGAGCTTACAGGGTTCCTTGACTTGACTGGACCTGACTTTTTTTCGTTTTCGTTTCTGCTTCTGTTTTCTCCCTTAAACTTAACAAGCGAACAGAACAAATATTACAGTATGCACCACACGCATTGCATTTCATCATCATTATCATTATCATTGTTGTTTTTTTTTTTCTTGTTTTTGCTTTTGTTGTATATTATTAATAATTTTTATTACAAATACTTGGGCGCTGGCTTCTAATTATACATAGTTTTCGGGAAAATCATCCGTTCTGTTATCGGTAATGTAATCATTAAACGGTACCTCTCTTATTGTTGCCTTTTAAATTGCGCTACAAGAAATCAACTTTACGCTTTACTATTTATAAATGTTATGTATAAAAAATTTGTTTCCTTCTTTCTCTCTCTCTCTCTCTTCCGCTCTATCTTCATTTCCTCTTAAGTTTCTTTTTTGAGGGCGCCTGAACAATGCGCAAACATTTTACAAAACATTTGCTATGGCATTATGTTTTGTTTTGTTTATTTTTTTTTTTAAGAATTTGGATTGATGGCGGCCGGGTCTGAAAAAGGTGTAATTTAACAAACAACAAACGATTTGAATTTAAAGAGAACAAAAGAATCGAATTAACATTAGAATTAAAATGAGGCGACCTCTGCCAAGGCAGTGGCTCCAGTGGCTCCAATGGTTACAGTGGCTCCAGTGGCTCCAGTGACTGCTTTGGCTGAGGCTCAGGCGTGTTTTTGTTGGCTGTTCTGGCTGCTGTCGTTGTGGTTGTGGGTGTGTGATTCCGGTGTGAGGTTTATAGAGTGTTGGCTAAAATTTATCCTGAAATATGAACAGATTGTTGGTCGCGGCCACTGCGATGATATTCTCTTCGGGATGCCAGGCGGTGTGCAGAATTTTCTTGTTAAAGTCGAGACAGTCCACGCTGATCTCGTCCTTCTTCCGTTTGCCACCAGTGCAAACTTTTCGCGGCTTGAGCACCGTCTTCGGCTTGATGATGTCCCTGGACGCCTCCAGTGTGACATCCTTTTTCGAGTTGCGATCAAAGACACGGAAAAAGTTATTGTAGCTGCCAGTCATGATCGAGCTATCCTTGCCGTTCCAACAGCACTCGAATTTGTCGAAAATGCAATCGTTCTCATACAGCGAGCACAGTTTAGCGCGCAGGTATTCGTGGACCTACCAAAAACAGAACCCAATGGTTAAAGGAACATCTATGGTACAGTATTTGATCCACACACTCACCGGATAGGTCTCAATGGGCTTGGTTTCCATATGCAAGTCCCACACCTTGATGCTCAGATAGTCCCGGGAGATCATATAGCGACCAGAATTGCTCAGCTTCACATCACTGATGGAGCTGATTATCTCGCTGAAGAAGCTGCGATTCGTTGGATTCTCGGGCTCCTCGAACTGTTTGCTGTGCCGGTCGCATAACGCCGCCGAACGCATATCACATAAACGTATTGTGCCCTTGGAGCTCGAATAGACGAACACATTGCACTCGGTCGGATGGAATTCGGCTGCCGTGATCACCTCGGTGAGCTCCTCCATGTTGGTTGGCTTGATGTCGACAATGTTGTAGCTCTGATTGACCACCTCCAGGTGCCAGAGATTGATGCGCAAATCGTCGGCGGACAGGAAAGTCTCTTGATCGGAATTAACGCTAATTGAATTTATGTGATAGGTATGTGCATTGGCGAAGGTGCGACGCGGCGAGGCTTCCACCATCAGCGGTATCTGCTTCACAGAAGGAACTCGTAAGGCGGTTACATTTTGGGGATCCCTGATCAGACCGTTCTCCTCTTTCGTGTTGTAGCCCTCAAAGGACTTGTCGCGCTCGCTGACCTTCCACAACTTGACCGTCTTGTCGTTGGTGGAGAGCAGAAAGTGCACTGGGTTCTTCTGTTGCAGCCATCGGATTTTGTTGATCTTCTCCTCGATCTCCAGCGACTTGAGGTAATCGAATTCGGGCTCGTGCGATTGGAATGTCGAATAGACATTGTATTCGCCGCGTCGCGGATTGGCGGCTTTCGAGGCAGGATCACGCTGCAATCAAAATATAACACCAGATATCAGAATGTATCCCCGTTGAATATTTTTCTTCCTCGATTTCCACTTACCTGAAAGATGACGACGCGACCGCCCTTGTCGCCGGTGGCCAGCAGTTCGCCATCGTGATTGAATTCCACGCAGGATATGATATCCGCATCTGTGACATCATCGTCCAAGGCGCCCTTAATCTGTGAGAAGCACCAGGACGCCTCTCCATTACCTGCAAAGAGAGAGCACGACCAAATGATGATTATGGTAGGTGACACCTTCGGTCTGTTTGAGTTCCGTTTGCGGAATGCCATTTGCCCTGGCCTGGCCTGCCCTGCCCCAAAGGTTGGACTTGTTACATTTGATTTTCATCTCATCGTCTCTCAAGCACTATCGCACTCACATTCGCCCAATCAATAGCTGGCTCTGGCTCTGGGAAGGACGACATCAATGCGGATGACGGCGGCACTGTCCTGCCTTGGTCAAATATTTGCTAATGACGCCATTCCCGTCCTTCCATCCACTGCTCGATGGAGCAGACCAGCGCACTTTAAAGCCCTTTAAGCTCTTGGCCAAATATTCTTTCCGTTTTGGGTTCGGTTTCTGTTTCCTTCCTCCCTGCCTCCTCCTGTCTCTCTGTTTGCCGATTCCGGCCTGCCAGCTCTACTTTTCGCGATTGCGGTACGTTGTGTAAACGATGACGTTGGGACCCCGTCTATCTCCCACCGCCACCGCCACCCCCACGCCCACACCCACACTGTCATACGGAAAACATGAGAACATTAATTTTGGAAATGCTTTTCTCTTTTTATACCCTCACAGAGGGGGTTACACTTCAGTTTCAACCTTTAAGGAATCCCTTAAGGTTTATTTCTGTAGAGATTCCTGGTAGATATTTGTGGATATATCTACAAAGAAAGAAGACTAGACTTTGATCATTATTGACTTGTATCCCTAGTTTTTATAGGAAAAGGTAGCAATAGAAAGCGATTACTGGAGGCTACTGAATATCAAACAGATGTATTGGATCTGATATACAAAATATCCAATACAAAACATCTTTCTTTTGAAGATAAAGGTCGGTCATCCATTAGTGCGAAAATTCCCAAACAAATGCAACGATTTCCTCTCAAAATTCTGATAATTCCTCAAGCAACGATTTCCTCTCAAAATTCTGATAATTCCTTAAGAGGTGCCTTCTTAAGCGTTGCAAAATCATCCCTGATCTTTGAAGATTTCAAATACATGGATTGTCCTGGATAATGGGCACTGGAAAGTCTTAATTACTCTTAGATTGGTATTAATTATTACCACAAATCGATTGCCATTTGTAGTTAAATTAAACTTCATAGAATATTAATCCCTGATTGATTCTATTCAATTTATTCACCATTGACAGAGAAAAGAGGCCCACTGTACGTGGGTTTTATTTCCTCTGTCGCTTTGTCTCTCTGGTCGCCTCTCCTCTTTCCACAATTTTTGCCAATTTTTTCATCATTTCTAAATATTCAGTTTTGCTTTTGTTTGTTTGATTTTGGCGGCACTGCTGCCACAGGCACAACGCCCTTGCCCCGCCCAGTCCCATGTGCTGTGTGACCTCATTATTGGGTTGTCTGTTGGTCTGTTGGCCCGTTGGCTGTGCTGCCGTTGTTCCTCGTTGCCTTCTTGACTGCCTCTACCTCTGCCTGTGCCCTGCCTCTGGCTGCCATTGACGACGTCATGAGATGTGATTGACGAGGCGAACCAATTGTGTGAGTGTCTTGCCTTCTACTGTGTTCGTTCTGTGGCTGCTTTTCCCTTCCATAATAGGATCAAAGGCAGTCGGTTAATTAGTCAGTCATAAATCGGCCTATAATCTATTTTTAGATATTGAGAGAATACGAGAGACCGAGATACGACAGACCTGCAGCTGCAGCTCTCACCCCCACATAGCAAAGCCCACAGCCATATACAGTTTTCCAGTCATTGAACTCTCGACAACTGTACTGTGCAAAAGCGAAAGTGCAGCAAAGAGAGAAATAAATGCAATAAAAATGATTGTTGGAAGGAAGTGCAGCCAAAGAACTGTTCTTCCATTCAGTGAACCCATTTCGATATTAAATCGATAATATCATCGATAACTGATTAACTATGATCGCATAATTCGACACTCGATATCACTGATCGATAGTATGATTACCCGATTATCAATCAATCATTTATCGATACTATGACTGCACAATTATCGCATATATCTACACAGGATACGATCATTGATATTGTTGATCGATATTATATCGACATAATGATTACCGGACTATTTTCGTATATATTAACCCACAATACGATCATTAATCGACATAAAGGTTAACCAATTACCAATTTCCGCATAAATCGACACTCGATATGATGATTTTCACTGACCAAATATATCAACACTCGATACGATATTTATGTTCGCATAAATGCATCCTATACCTCCATAAATCCCTACCCTACCATCCATCCATCCCATTCTTCGCAACCATTTTCAGTCATCCATCTCGCCCAAAAACGATTCTGTTTTAGTGCCGCAATACAATATAATTGCTCCGAAAACGCGGTCACATTGTTTCCCATGGCACACGAATAACAGAAAATAAATAAATCTTGGATAATTGCTGAAAAATATAGAAAAAATCGCGAAATCCAAAATGTGTTCTCGCTCAGTCGCTTGTCTATTTATTTGTTAGATGCTTTGTACATACAGATACAGATACAGATCTAATAATGTGTGTACACTGTACATATATGTGTATTGTACATACATAAAGAGATAAGTAGATTTTCATGAGCGGGCGCAAAATGGAGCAAAATAATGAAACTCAAATATTGACACAATTATTTAACACAATCACGCGATGTCGCGGCTAAAGCTCTTTCTCGCTGTTTCTCACTCTCTCTCTCTCTCTCTCTCTCTCTGTTTCTCCAGAGACACCCGTGCCAGAGGCAGATGAATAAACGACCTAGAGAATGCCATTACCACAAAGCGTCTAACAAACTAGATAGTCGGAGCAGTAACAAAAGAAAGGAGGGAGGGCAGAGGGAGAGAATCCCTTTTTGGCAGCCAAACATTTGACAAGCTTCGTTCGTCAACATCAGAGGAATGGAATGGCTCCTTATACATGACTGAATCAGTAAGCAATTTTGAATATTGCTACCAAAGGATTAATTAGGGCCAAGGAAAATCAGAGGTGAAAAGCAGGAAATAGGCAGCTTCTTGGGGAGGAAAACCTCAGTAGTGGAACATTTCGGGAATATTCTCGGCGCACCTTTAAACCAGCAGCCCAAGAACAACAGCGCAGCGTCATGCACATGCATGTATGTTGTTCTCTTTTAAAGAAATCGTATATTATGGGAGCGAGTCCTTATGTGCTTTAAATGGTCGTAATCAAGTGTTTTAAGAGCAAGTATTCTTGACTATTGGTTTCAAAAGGTTGAGAAACCTGGAACTAGTTCACTCAAGATGTTCTTTACTATCATTAACGAGAGCTAGAGTTCACTCTTTAGTTACAAAAGTTCTGGATTCAATATCCTCCTTTAAGAGACTGTATTTCCCCTTACCCAGACCTTTTGGCGGACAGAGTTCAATACGTACAATCTTAGACCGACTAGATCGAATTTGCTGAAACCAATCAAAAGACAATAAGCCATTAAATACAATGTTTATCGCATCAAGGGGCTTTTTAGAGGAATTTAAATTTACATAACATTACAAATTGAGAACAGAAGAGCTTTTCCCGGTTGCAGCCGGCCAATTACCAAATCCAATCTAATCTAAGATACACATCAATCTGTCACCTTCCCCGTTCCCGTTCCCTCTCCCTCCCCTCTTATCTTTCTCTGACCGTCTCTGGGTGTCTGACACTGGTTGCCAGTGAAACATCTCAAACTTGTGTAATGTTATGTCCGTTAGTGACAATGTTGGACTAACTATTTACATGAGCCTCCTCCTCCTCGTCGCTGGCTACTTGTGCGTATCTTGCAGATACATTATTTAGGCAAAACGAGCATCTCGTCTCACATCGAAAAGGAAACAACAGAGACGGCAGCATATAAAATTGGCAAATAATTTTGCATACATCACATGCACCGCATCCACATCCACATCCATATACAGACGGCAAACGGAGAGCTCTGCGACGTCACGTCTGGAAATACACGGTTGGGGGAGGTGGCTGGGCTTTGGTCCATTGCGGCAGCGGCAATGGCAGCGGCAACGGCAACGACATCGTTGACTTTAACTCAATTTACACAAGGCACAACACGGTCCAGATCCGAGCGTTCTCCATCTATAGTATTGACCCACCTCATTTGTACGCCGCATTCTCGATGCTTGCGCAATTGTTTATTATTTAATTATAGTAGTTTTGTGTCTTGGCCGCAGGGGAGTGGAGCGGGGCACCCCCTCCTCGTTTATATTACTCTGTGAACCAAAAAGTGAGCCTGCCTGCCAGACTATGACATCGATCTATGCAGAAATACACGCCCCATAAATACCCTTACACGCCCCACATATACCCTTCGACAAGCAGTAAAAAAACACGGTTTTATCGACTCGCTTATGCTGATCAGGGGTCAAAAATACTGCCTTTTGATCGTTCATTGATCATTAAATTTTACATTAATTCTGAAGTTTCCATAGAAAGCAACAGATGGACAGATCAAAAATATGTGTGCTGACAAATTCGGGTTGAAGACACAATCATACTACCCCTCTGTAAGGGTAACCCACGAGTGTACCTTACCTTACTGCTTTTCAGTTTATAATGGTCGAGCGGGGGCGGGCATTTGTTTAAAGGAAAGGGGGAGGGCAGACTTGTCAATTGCGTATATTCCGCTCACGTCGCTAGCGGCATTTCGCTCAAGTGCAAAGATCAATGCTAGTCGATAGGGAAAAGTTGTTTTTAGCTTGACGCAACGCATTTGACTAGTTTGTTTACTTTTCGGGACGGGAATGGGAATGCGAATTTGTTTATGTGCAAATTATTTGCAAATTTAATGCCAAAATCAAAATTAAACGCGAGAACACACCGACGCACACAGAAACAGCGACAGTTGGCAGCCCCATTAACCGGGCGAGAGAGCGAGAGGATGAATTCACTTACCGGCCATGACAGTTGAACAGTTTGCGTCGATAAAGCAGCGGCGGCGGCAGCACAAGCAGCAGCAGCAACAACAACCACACACTAAGAGAAAGAAGGCCAAGGAGCCGCGCTCGCGCTGTCTTAATCGTGTGCTCTCTTTAGCCTGAAACCGCTCTCTCAACTGTGCGTGTATGTGTCGGTGTTAGTGTTGTTGTTGTTGTTGCCTTTGTTGTGTGGAGGAGTTAAGCGCGGTTTCTTTCGCCACAGGAGCTTTCTAACACTGCATGTACAACAAAAAAAACGGCGAGGAACAAATGAAAAGAAGAAGAGACGTTAAGCGCTCGTTGACTTTGCTTCCTTCGCGCAGTTTCCTTTTGTTTCTTGTTTCTCCGTTGGGGTTATTCTTTGATTATACTTTGGTTTATATCTATGCATATATTTGTGGTTGCTTTTAACACACAACTTAAGCACGTAGAGACGACGACATGTGGGGAAGAAACTGCAAAGTAGGGGAAATTTTTTCTTTTGTATGACGACGAATACAACGACGCCGACGACGATGCCAGCAGCATAAGCAGCGGCAGCGGCTGGGGCAGCAGTATAACGTGCGTTTTTTTTGCGCGCGTGTGTGTGTGCGTGCGAGCGAGAGAGTACTAGTGCAGCCGGTGGTTGTGAGATGAGCACAAAAATTACTTCACACTGCCGCCTCGTTCTCTCCTCCTGTTCTAACCAACCGTGGCGTTGTAAGCGCGATATTCACACACTGTATAATTGCTAAATAATTAAGATTACTTATTATTTATTGCATTTGCCAAAACAAACACACACACACACACACACACACATATGTATATATCCGCCGCAGGCAGCACAGCACCGACATTCGCGTTTTTGCGTCGCTCGCTTTGTGCCTTTGTTTTATCGCGTTTTCTTCGCCCGACCGAACAAATATATATAAAATCTAACCTTCAAAGCGTGCATAGGTACATGTATACGTATATATGTATTTATATTCTGATTCCTGGTCTCACGGCTGCAGTGGCTTATGCATTTTGCTGGCTTTCTGGTCCAAAAACCGACCGCGTGACTGCCACTTTGTTTAGAGAACGCGAAACACACACAATCAATATTCGATTCGATTCGATTCTAATGCATTTCACTTTATTTATTTTGTGAGCGATTCCGCACAAAGACACAATCACACCGCGGGGCTAACAATCAAATCGAAATCAAAAATGGCAAAGCTTGTGGCTAAAGCAAGATTCTGTGCTGCGGCTGCTGCCTCCTGCTTCTTCTTCCGCTTTTTGCCGCCTCTTTTGCTGCACTGCTTCGTCGTTGCGTCGTAATGAGTGGACTTTTTTTGCAAAGCGGCGCACTTTTAGACTATATACACGGCTGTAATAACGCAATTGTATTGCCGATTCAAAACTGGATCACTGTTTGTAACCTTAGATTAATAAATTTACGATAAATGACTATTTTTACGATAAATTCAACGCAAAAAATGGAAGTAAAAACTATAGCGGCAGTGTGACCGCGGAGGTTTCGATATACGGTCCGACCCTCGGAAATATACCAAAACATACCATAAAAATACTGACAAATTCAAGTTATGTTATACATTTTCCTCGTTTTTGATCTTCCGTCGAATATTACTAGCTATATACAACATTTAGCCATGCCCACATAATTTTATACGATTAATGAATCAATTTTCTACAAGATTGGATAGTTTTTAATCCTTGCTTTTATTGTATTTTGACTAAAACAAGGTTTAAACAAAATAGTTCAACAAAAAAAACAGTCGCAATGTTGCTAGTATTTGAAGTCATGATGCGTGTATAGGCCTTTGTGCACCCTATTTCGCTAATTTTATATGAAGATCAAACGTAATTTATTAAGACCTTTTCTCAAATTGATATTCCTTAGACATATTCAAGTACATTATTAGTATCTTGTCTATATTTATGTCGATCCTGATACCTACGGAGTCTTGGAAGACAAACGTATTCACAATTCTATAACATCCATTTCCCCCAGGGTATGTGTGCATGGAATTAGCAACATGTTTGTGTATGGAGTGAGACTCATTGCTGCAAAAGCTAAACTGCGGCGAATCGGGTATTGCCTATATTTCAAGCTATATAGATTTGCCCACTTAGCTTTATCCCATAGATAAATGCATTTTCTACAAGATTGCTTCTTTTAATTACCTTTATGTATTTTATTTTGACTAAAATACGGTTTTCAAGTAAATGTTGCCGCAACTTTTGTGCATGGAATTAGCAACATGTTTGTGTATGGAATGAGACTCATTGTTGCTAAAGCGAACTGGGGCGAACTGCGGCGAACTCAAATTCGATTCAAAAAACGACCAATTCCTCATATTCTTTGTTCCGTTGAATAATACTATCTATATGGAACATTTAGCCATGCCCACTCAATTTTATACGATTGATGAATCAATTCTATACATGATTGGCCTATTCGAAATACTTGCTTTTATTGGATTTCTATATAAAATTGAAAATGAAATTAATAAATGACAAAAATACCATTTAGCACTAAAAAACACCACATGGGAGCGCGGCGAAAACCAGTTTCTACACCGAAATACAAAATATACCGAGTGGTGCGCGCCAAATCGAACTTTTTTGAATGTGAGCGACAAGGATTTAAATGTTGTCAACCGGGCCATTACCGATTCAACAAATACGATTCCCTCAATTTTGTTCTTCCGTCGAATATTCCCAGCTAAATAGAATATTTATCTATGCCCACATAATTTTATCCGATTAGTGAATCAATTTTCTACTTTACTTTTAGCGAAGAAGGTCAACAAATGAAATGTAATAAAACTTAAGAGAGTAATCGTTCTTATTGCTCAATTTTGATGCTGGCTAACTATAACCTTCGGCCCTGCCCACATAGTTTTATCCCTTTCAACAAAAAAAAAACAGTCGCAATGCTGCCACGTCACCCTGGTATTAGAAAACTTGTTGCTTATCAACCGGACATTTGTATACCCTATTTCGTCAAGTTTAATACGTAATTAATAAATACATTTGCTCAAATTGATATGTTTTAGAAATATTCATGCATATGATTAGTGTCTTGTATATATATCTTAATTCTTGGTCTCTGTAAGAAAACAATAAGCTCCAAAATATCGTTGTGATAGCTTTAAAACAGAGACTGACTATATTCTATATTCTGTTTTCTAGGGTATGAAAATTAGTGTTGCCGGCAACATTGTGCATGGAATGAGACTGAGAATGGAGAATCAAAATATATAAATATAATTTCCCATCTTGTAACTTAAAAATTTACATTTTTTGAACGTATTTGTGCACTTATATGCTTTCTGTATGGCGGTTAGATATCTTTAATTAAAGGAGCCAACAGCTAGCAACAAAAAAGAAATAAAAAATAGTAAATGAAGGCGGGCTTTAAATATTTAAACAAACTTTGGCTACAAAGGCAGTTTCGAATAAGAGTTCCAGGCTACCCAAGTGCCGCAAACGCCGGTGGCGGCTAAGTGTGGGAAAATGGCGAATAATAAATGACTGTTAACGTACACAGAATAAATGCTGTTAAGGGGATGTTAGTTGGTTGGCGGGAAATTTGAGTGCTTACTCTGAGGCTTCTTTGCTCCATTTATGTTGATGGCCGTGTTCAGCATATTGCCAATCTTTGTGATGCTCGACTGCCGCATAAAGGTGCGCGGCGGGATGGCTGGCGCAGGCTGTGCTTGTGGCTGTGGATCCAGGGGCTCCAGCACCGGACTCTGCCGGCCCCAACGACCCATTTTCGGCCCCGAGTTGTGGTTAGGTGCTGTAAATAAATTGAATGATCGAATCTATTAACATGTTTCTCGAGGCTCAGCTGCATACACAGATTGTATAATGCATATTAGCCCAAGACTCTTGTCGGCGAGACGGCCGCACATGAGCGGGCTGCGTGTTTTTGAATTTGTCAGGCAATTAGCACCTGTCCCGCTCATCTCCAGATTTCAACTCGCTTGGCGATTAGCTCTCTTGAGGACGGTTCAAACAAATGGATTGCGCAAATTGTTTACATTAGAAATTACGGGTACGTGTTGCGTGCGAAAGAGAGGAAACATATGTTTTCGGGTTGAATTAAATTCCGCCACCTGCGTGTTTCATAAATTAAAGTTTTGCCAGAACGAGAGGTGTGTCTGCAGCAGCGCTCTGTTTTTATCAACTTTATCTATATAAGCCGCATTTTATGGCTGTCTATTCAATTTATTGCCCACCATAGACTAGACTGATAGAAGAATAAATAAAGAGTCGGCATTCCAATTAACAATTACACAAAAAAGCAATCCCATTTCGCTAATCTCCAGCTCAAATATTTAAATGGCGCGCGCAGAGTTTAACGGTGAACGTCAGAGTGGAAACTTTTGCAGTGCGACAAAAAAAAAAAACAAAAAAAAACATTGTAAAAGACAAAAACAAATTAGCACAAATCTACACTCGCATACTTCTGTAAAATGTAATTTGGCATACATATACGTATAGGCTATATACATATGTATGTGAATGTGTGCGCTGTTATTTCACACATTCTCATACATACCATACGGATATACAGTTACAATATGAAGACCACGTCGCGCTTTGGCCGTCGTTAAAGGAGTGATTGAGCAATGGAAAGGGGAGAAGAGGAGAATTATGCAAAGTTAGGTACTTCCTAAACGAGAAAGTAGCTGCTTTGCAGCGGGGTGTTAACAGAATGAGCACAACAGAGAATAAGTTAATCCCTCTTGTATTGTAAGATCTTGAGATAAGAATTATGACATGTAGGCATGTAATAAACAAATAATTTCGCAAGGCCAGAGCAGTTCCAATGATACACCGCAGCTCACCTGCTGTCTCGTTTAGCCAGTGGCTACAAGCGTACGCAACAAGTAGAAGAGCCTCACCCCTCGCATATACACACATTCATACACATGTATGTATGACTAATAGCAAAGAAGAAGAAGCAGTAGAGAGGGAGAGAGCAACGTGAAAAATAACAGCAACAACAAAGGGAAAACGCAGAGAATTGTAATCCAATTAATGATCCGCGTCTTCAATGTCTCCTCTTCGCAGAAACGTGAGCGGGGGTGGGCGGGCGAATAATGCAATAAGATCTTGGGGGGAAATCGGGAAATACAACTGTCATGGCAGAGCCCGAAAAAAGCACACTCATGCGTCGAATGTGAATGTGGGGTCCATTAAAATGTGCGGCATGTAAATAAACGAACAGAACAAATGTTTTCCACACAAACTACAAAAACAAATCGAAACAGAAAAAATACATTTTTTTGAGAATATAGTGCTGTCAAGATTTGTTTTTGATTTTGTGTAGTTATTGTTCAACCATGTGCATGTGGGAAGCGGAAGCGCGAAAAGGAATCCGAAATCCGAAATAAACTCAAGAAAAACTGAATGTACATTTTAGCATTGATGGGCATGGCATGGCACACACCGAAGGTGAGGGTAAATTCGCATCTTCAGCAAAATATAAATAGAAGTCGCACAGTTGGAGAGCCACAGTAGCACGTGCGACACGAGACCTATCCCCCCCCTCTCATCTGTTGCCCAGCCAGGTGGCTGCCAAATCTTTGATTATTTTTGGACATTGTCAACCCTCCTCGTCAGCTCGCCTAATGTGCTTTTGATGCGGCAGCGAAGGAGGGATGGCACACAGACCTGTTTTATATTTAGCTTTTCATACTGGCTGGCTGGCGCTTGCCAAACTGTCCGAAATATGTCCGTCAAAGTGCTGACAGTTTGGCAGCAATTGGCGGTTCGCAGGACAGATGAATTTGTTATTTACGGATGGGTGGGAGTGAAGGAGAGTGTGTGAGTAAAAGATAAACATACACTTTGATGGACGTGATTGCTACCATACGTACATATGTACATAAATGCATGTATGTGTGTCTCCACCCCCTCCAACAATCCCAAGCAGATCGATGGGGACCCAATATTGTGGTTATCAAACTGTCAATTAATACACTTCGTCCCGCCTCCAACCCACCCCTTGAGATATAATGAAACTAATTAGCATTCGGACAAACGCCAATCTATCGTACACTCATATTATTATTAGTGAACAGAATAGAACAGGACAGAACAGAACAGGACAGGCTCTGGCCAGAACAAATTACCCGCCACGCCTCATATAAGGGGTAGATTCGGTGGAGAATTGGCAGCGAGAGATTGCGCGTGCTTTGGCAATTTGTATTATTCGCTAATGCCAACAGCTTGGGCAAATATTTTGGCATAAAAGTCACCGAGCCGAGTGACAAAATAGTAGCTATTAATTGTTTTTAAGCCGTCTCGGTCTCTACATGGCCAAGACAACTCAATAGTTGTTGCTTTTGTTGGGGTTCGTTCGGTTCGGGTCGAAACAAAGCCGCCTCAAAATGCTGTTAGCCTCAAAACCGCCAAGAACGTCAACATCTGAAACTTGGTGCTCTCGCGGTTAGGCAGGGGTGGGGGGCAGCGTATAATATGCGTTCTAGGTGTATACATATAAGAGTTCAAGCGGATCAGGTGTTGCCTGATATACTATACTACTGTATATTCCTGGAGGAATGGCCAGAGCACTCATCCACAGGTTGACGTAACTTTTCAACTTTGAATGATAAAAGGGGACCAGATCGGGGTCTGTGTGGTATTGGAGCAGCTGTCTTGCCATATCCGAACACGCGCGCATACATATTAATAAACATTAGCACCATCCATGCACAAAACCAAAAAACTAACCTCAGCAGCGAGCAGCAACGGTTCTGGAATAAGCCAGAAAACAAAAAACCAGCAACGGGATCAGCGTCTAATACTTTAATAGCACTGGCTTTCGATATGTCATAATTTGTTTATGCATCGAGCTATTTTAATACACTATCGCACTGACGTCTATTTATAAAATTCAAAGTGTAATTTATTGTGGTTTGTTTTAAATTTCCTATTTTTTCTCTCTGTCTGGCACGCACTCTCTTTCACAGTCTGCATGTGTCAGAATTGTAACGGTTCAATCTGCACTGACACTTCACTTCACTTTCTTTGATGTTGTGCCTCTGGCGGTGTCGTCACACTGGCACAGCAGCAGCCAGCGAAGGCGTACAAAGGCACTGTAAACTAATTTAAACTTAATTCAACGTTTCACACAAATGGAATAAGGAAACCGCAATAAGGCGAAACAGTCAACGCGGCGACGTTAAAAACGCGAATGCGCAGCCTATGATTTCTACAACTCACGCGCGCTGCCCCCCAATGCTCTCCGTCTCGTCACATGCTCTCTGGGCTCCCGCTCTCCCTCTCAATATGTGACCGTGAGCCGGCGCTCGCTCTCTTTGGGGGAAGAAGATTTTTGTAAACAAAACATTCACACTCACTGGCCATTGTTGTTTTTGTCGCCGTCTTCTTCTGATAAACGCTAATTTGCCTATTGATATTGCTGTTTCTCTGCCTCCGAGAAATTGAGAGAGAATATATTCGACTCGCCTTAATGAATGTAACTATATTTATGAATTTCTTATCAAATATCAAAACTGAATATGAAATGATGTTGATTCCAACGAATACTTAGATTAACTAGCAACTTCTAGTCGAAATTTGTCTTGGTTTATTGTAGTAGGCCATGCTTGACGCTCGTTCTACCACATGTCTCTGTATATTTTGGTCATCATATTAATGTCCTTGTTTGTATTATTGTATTTGAGCCGTAGGTGGTCCTTGTGCTTGCTCCAGTTTTCGATGCCGTGGTGGAATACTACCTCGAGGACGAGCAGCTGCTCGTAGAGCGTAGACCAGGACACGCCAATGGTTGCGGCGCAGGTCTCCAGCAACCAGCGAAAGGAGCAGGGGAACAGGGTGCGCAGCTCCCGCTGATACGTCTGCGGTAACTTGTTCATATGGCCGTGCAACAGCCAGATGTCGAAGTTGGATACGTACAGCAGCTGCCTCTCCATCTGCTCCTCCCCCTCCTCATCTTCTTCCTTGGGCTCGATCATCTCGGAATCGGTCAGACTAGATCGAGAGTTGAGAAGTCGGCGGGGCATGTCCAGCGGAACCGACAGCGGTTCCATATGCGCCTCGTCAAAAGCTTGCAGAGAACTAAGATCGTCCAAGGATATCTCCTTATCATTAAGTTTCAGGCGGTAGTTGGGCGTCTGTTGAATTTTCCAAAACGGATTATTTGCCTCCATGTTCTGGCGGCGCACTGCGCGCTCCTCCATCTTGAGCTGGTACTGTGCGCCATACTTGGCCGAAGGCTGGCGGAACTTGAAGATCGGACGCTTCTCCTTCTTTCGCAGCTCCTCGATCCACTCGTTGCCCTTGATATCACAGTTGGCGCGGAATTCCGATCGCGTCTGGTCTGGTTTTTGGCAATATTGAAAGATCCCCACCTTCTGGTAGTTTTCCTGGCAGGAGAGTTCCTCCACGCACAGCTTGACATCATCTTTGGCAAGGTACTCGGAGAGTTCCTTGGTCTTTGTGATGAAGGGATCCAGCTGACGCTCAGAGTGTACTACCCGCATAAAGTCGGGGATCTTTACGCTCATGTCCTCGCCTTCGGCCCGCGAGGCGTGCAGGAGAAGGCGATTGAAGTAGCTGAGGCCGGGTGTCAGGCTGGCCTGGAACTCAATGTGGTCCTTGGCCGTCATTTCAGCGCTGCCCTCGCCGTACTTCTCCTTGAGCAGGTTCTCGAAGGTGTGGCGCATGTTTTCGCTCTGGCGCACGGCAGGCGTCATCTCCACCTGGTTGAAGTTCTTGTCGTGCTCTTCCTGCTTTCGCTCCTTAATGAGAATGTCGTCAAGCTGCCGCTCCAGATGGGTGGCCACTCCGAAACGCTGAGCAAAGCTCTGGTTGTAGTGCGAGACCAAAACCTTGCGCAGCTCCACAAACCGCATCCATTCCCCAAAGACGAACAGGGTGCCAGGTGCTTTCTCGTCGGGCCTCGTCAGCCTGATCTTCTCCAGACACTCATTGACTTGCGCGGCAGACTCGGATATCTTCTTCTCCTTGATATCATCCAAGCCAAACAACAGCTTCATGGCGTAGACGATATAGGCCATGACCCGGGCCTCATAGCGCGGATAAGTCCAAGGATCCCACAAGTGCTTGAACTCGGGCGGATGGACATCCATCAGGCGGCACACATAGTCGGCCACTGCGGGCGGCAGGCTCAGTTCCATAACGTAGCGCTGTGTTAGGGCGGTCAGGTCCGGTGTCTGGAATCCAGTCAGATCTATGAAGCGCGACATGTACCCAACTTGTCTGCGCAGGAACTGCAAGGGAGAAGGATAATTAGTAGATCGTGTTGTTCATTTCTGACCCGAGTCTCACGTCGTAGCTACACTTGTCCTTTTGGTGGCCGAATTGCAGCTCCTTGATCAGCGTCTTGCCGCGCAGCGCCACGTCCTCTGGCAAGTAGTTGAGGATATATCGGCTGGTCAGATGCTCCTCGTCAATGAGCCGCAGCAGGTCCGTCAGCTGCAAATCGTCTCCAATCATGTTCAGGGCTATGGCCAGGACCACAAACAGCTTGTTGATGTTTAAGTGGAACATATTCCGATCAAAGTAGACCAGATTCTTGGCCTTAGGGGGCAGGCCATGGCACCGCATGCTCCCTGTGCAGTCCATACTATGCTTGTCCAGATGCTTGAGTGGCATATGACGCTTCAGGGTCTTGCGCGCCCTCCAGGACCACTGCAAGCGTATGCTCAGTCCCGCCGTAGATTCCGAAGGGGCGTCGTTTTTACTGCAGCTGGTGGCGTCTAGCTTGCGCTGGAAGAACAAAATGGGGACATGGCTTTAGCTCAGCTCTATCTTTAATAAATGTAACAGCACTCACCTTGGTTTTCCTCCACTTGCGCCACTTGGAGCGCTCATCATTCTGGACATTATTACTTTTATCCAGCCTCTCCCTCTTTCGCTTGGCTTGCTTGTGATTGTATATGATGCGCGCATCTCTGCAAAGGGCGACATATTTAGATGGGAAATTGTATCTTGGCCACTGCTTACCTGGGCAGGGAGCGCACATTCAGCTTGGGCAGACCCATCACATTGCTGTGGCAAAAGGCCACCTCCATGCGACCCATGTAGGCGGCCCACACCTGCAGCGTCATCAGCTTGAGTTCCGGCTTTGCCCCTATATTGAGCAGCTCCTCCATGAAGGCCCTGCGTAAATAATAATATCATTAAATTAAGAAAGTACATTAAGAAGATCTGTATTAAATTAAATATACCGCAGCACATAGTTGTAGAACTCCCATGATGTTATTTCATTCTCTTCCGAATTGGCCTTTGGCTGCTTGATTGTGCGCACCGTAGTGTGGTTTTTTGTATCATTGAAAGTGTCGTCGGCATTTATCTCCACAGCCCTTAGCTGTTCCTTTTTGGTTCCGCACTCGATGCAATAGTAGTAGCCCTCGCGCTCCTGGAATTTCAGCTCGCCGCACACATCGCACTGTAAGTTATCCACCTCCATTACTTCGGTTTCGTCCATTTTTACTTATTTCTTGTGTTTACTTATTTATTTAAAAGCGTGCCACTCTTGTAGCTGGACCAGTGTTGCCATTTTAGACTATTTAAGGCTAGATCTAGCTTATTTGAAAACAGATACTTATGCTTGAAATATGATGAAAATGCTTATAGCCTTAAATCTAGCCTTTTTAAAGCTATATATATAAATTTAATACGTTCCAGCGATAAATATACCGATTCAAGTAATAGCGATTTAGATGGAATAAAGACACAATTAGATTAGTAATCTATATATCGATGTGATATTTTATTTGTAGTCTATTTGTTAGCCTGTATTTTACAATTTTTAGCTTTTTCTAGCATGTGTTTTTTGTGAAAAATCTGGCTGCACTGAGCTGGACCAGATCAAATATACGGTCTGACCCTCAGAAATATACCGAAATATACCGTCTCATTTTCTAAATATACCAATGAAAAAGCGAACTTAAACTGGTGAACAGCTTTGAAATAAACCGCGGAAAATAAATTTGAAAATTCTACAATCCTTAATTGTTCCTTTCGCGAAGACTTGGCTGAAACATCTGGGCTGACATATGATCCTCAAAAGCAGGCGTTATCCAGGAGCATTTACTTTGTGAAATTATCGCCAAGTTGCTCAACAAAAACTGTTAAAAACAGATGAAAATTGATGTCCAGACTTTCGACTAATCTTAGTCTTCCTGCCGAAAGGACAATGGACTACATTGGTTTTTGACAGAGATAGAATTATGTATACAAAAAAATCCAAACTTTAAGTGCTCTATCAATGTTTTATAATTTTATTATAAAATAATGAGAACGTTATTAAATTATATATTTGGTGGACCGTTTCCTGGCAGTGTTATGAAGAAAAAATAAACAATTATTCACTCGATTCTTTCTCTGCGCACTGCGTGTTCAGAGTGAAGAGCGGACAGATGGCCATCCGGCTGGTCCACCTGTTGCTTGTCCAGGCTCCGCTGGATGCGATCAAACATTGATTTGGCCAAACCGAGATCGGCGGCCTTATGGGAGAGCACGTCGGCAGGCAACTGCTGTGTATCACCCACCAATACCAGGTGCAAAATGCCGAAACGCATCGGCAGCAGGGTCCAAGGTTCGGTGCATTGTGTTGCCTCGTCAATTAAACAGATATCAAAGTAGTTAATTAAACTGCCCAGCTCCACGCACGAGGAGAGGGTGGTGCACACAATGTTGGCTGCTTCTATATGAGATTTAGCAATATCGAGCTCTTCGGCATGTGTTAATCGAGGATTAAGCTGCTCCTCCAAGGCCTTCATCTGCTTCACCTTCTTCTCGTACATATCAAACGGCCGGGGGCCATCGTGCTTCTTTTTCTTCTTCATCAAGTTCACCTCCACTTTTAAGTCATTGTACCTCTGTTGGAGAGTCGCTCGCTTTTCGGTAAGCAGTCGTTCCTTTTTGTGAGCCTTGGCACTCTGGTACTTACGCTCCAGCGAGTACTGGCGCGACAGAGTATTCATCTTTTCATACGGCCCATAGCGAAGCATATGAACTTTGTACTTTTCTCGCACGTTGTGAAGACGGAATACAATTGAGTCGACGGCCGTGTTTGAGTGGGAACAGATTAGTATCTTGCGATCCTTTTGTATGGCTACCCTTCCATACAGACACTGCATGCTGATATTCGCAATCAGGGATTTACCTGTGTCTGTGGAGCCCTGAATAAGCGTAATGCTTGGAATTTCATCGTGTATGACGCGTTGATACGTGCTTGAGCAGATAGCCTCTTGTTGAGGGTTGAGCTTGGCTAAACCCTTGAAAACACACGGTGTGTCATAGCTGGGTATTTGGGTATTCTTTAGCATTTCGGTGGGCTTGATAATCTTTCGATGGAGTGGCGAATGGGACAGCTGATCCACAGCTTGCAGGGCGCCCAGTTCCAGTTCCAAGCTGTCCACCACCGGGCGGGCAGTCAAGAGTTTTATCCCCTTAAATGTCTCCAGAGAAATACCATCCGTTAAAATTTCGAAAATCAGCTCATGGTCTGCAAAGAGGAAGGAAATATTGATGACATGGGTATGCGCTTTAATAGGGAGGGGTGTACCATTTTCTGTTCTTTGCCCCCGAAGAATAGCGAACGTCTCCTTGAGCTTTTTGCCACTCGAAAGAGTGTAGAGCCTACACTTTTCTGTCGGCTTAGTGAACACTACAATAGACAGATGATTAGAAATCAGACGATCTATAGAATTCAGGCACTTACCTCGCGTGGTCAGGCAGTAAAATGATTTAATTTTCTCAACAGGATGTTGCAGGCACACCTCAATTGGCTGCCTCCCCAACTTGTAGTCCCTTTTGATGGTGGTCAACAACTCCAGTTTCATCAATGGCACAAATATTCTGCAAAAGAATCGAGTGTAGGTGCTAGAGAGTGTGGCACACAGTTGAATGTGTTCTAAAAGTGGGTCGGACTCACTTCTTGTACTGCTTGACCGTCTCGAATTCGTCAGCTATGGGCTTCAGGACATCTGAGTTGATCACGGCACCTACATTCCGCTGCTTCAGCCATTGATTTGCCCACTTGAGGATGCTCTTGACGTAGGACGCTGAATCGTTCACCTGATTGCGCGACCATTGTTTACGTCGTTCGACATAGGTGCTGCAGTATAGCAGCTCATCAACCTTTTTCTTCGACATATTCTGAAACCTCAACTTCTCTTCCATATCCTTCTCCATGCTGGCAAAGGTTCGGCGATTTATTGCACTCTCGGCATCTTTACGCTCTGGCGGACGACCGTTTCGACTGGGCAGAAAATCAGTAGGCTGCATCTGCTGTATGAAATCTTCAGCGCCGATAGTGGCACGTCGGTTCCTGTTTCGCTTGAAGTCCATGTTGGGTCTTTCGATGCCCACAGTGAGGAAAGCACCTCGACTGGCATTTCTTACTCTTGGCACAGTGGTTGTGGCTTTTCTTTTCCTGCTGCCCGACTGCTCGGAAGTGCTGTCGGCCGGCTTCTGCTCAGTCAGTTTTCCGAGCGACTTCGTTTCGTCATCTAACATATCCTTCGCTTTGGGCTTCCCCTTGCATGGGGCATTGTTATTATTATCATCTTTGAGCACAGCCGAAACGCCTCGCAGTTTGTCACGATACTGGGGCCCCGAGGGAGCCTCAATAACTTCTGGTCCCCTAATCCGCCTCATGTCCATGCCGTTGAGATTGCGTGTTGCCAAGTTAGGTTTGTCTTGGGGTCTTGGGTAGTAGCACGAAGTGGCACGGCTGCGAAGTCGAGTATTGATCTCTCTTTTCGAGGGATATTCTTTTGGCATAGGTGGTGGCTCATTCTCTTTCGACCTAATATTTACTGAGGTAGTGCCAGCTTTCCTCATTGAAGAATATTTCATTGGTTCAGCATTCTCCATTGAAGGGGCTTTGATTTTTTTAGCTTGCAACCCGATCTCTATAAAAATATCTATATTTATTAATTCTCCGGGGTCGACAATTTTGGACTTCTTGGATAAGCTTGAGATACCTTTTTCTTCAGACCTGCGCACAGACCTTGAGCGTTTCGATGACGATGTGCAGTCCGCTGTGAACGAGAGAGAAGAGAAAGATAGAGTACGTATTTACTCCTACGGATGGTGTGGCTCTCACTCTCATCTGAGCGGGAATCAATGCAGAGTGGCTTGGAGTATTTGGGATCGCTGCAATCCAGACTGCTGAGCGCCTTTGGTGGCTTCATATGAAATTGACAAGTCGTTGACGAGCTGTCGGGTAGTTTTTGGCTGTGGAGGTCTTCATCATCGCTGTCAGTGATCAGAATGATGTCACCGTCATTAGTCGAAGACAAGGGCGAACCATTTTTATTTGTCTTCTCCTTCTCTTGACGGACCTCCTGGGACATGGCCATGTGCTTATCGTAGTCCCCCAACGACGGAGGAGGAGGACAGGGCGGTATCATGCTGCTGTCAGGACAGGGCGGATCCTCCGGTTTGTTCTCATTCCCATCCAGCTCAATAAATTGACCATCTTGTAGCCTCGAGATTGGTACTGCTTGCTTTTCTTTCAACAAATAATTGTATAAATACGGGTTTATCTCCAGAACACTAGCTATAATGGACTCATCCGCCTCCCCAAAGATATTTGCTATATTTTCTGTTATCGTTTCCCACTTGTGGCGTTTAACTTGTGGCAACTTTGGCAGGTGGAGGTTCCGACGGTTCCCCTCATCCGTCTGTTTGTCAGCCACAGTTGAGGCAGCATTATCGTTTGCCACATTTGGAATTTCAGTAACAGGCTTTAGAGCCGGCAGAGGAGTTGAGTCGTCGTCCGAATCGCTTATTGGCACAATTTCCCATGTCTTGACTGGCCCCTTTTTCAAGCTGAAGGCGGGGCTGGAAACCTTCTCCGCAACTGGACAGCCCAGGCAGATTAAATCCCCTTCACGTACAGGCACGCCATTCAGTTTCTTCTTAATGATCGCGCCATTCACAAATACACCATTCGCAGCATTCTGCGGGACAAAAAAGTTAGATGCTATGCTCCATTGTTCACCTAAACTTACCAAGCATTTGACCAACACTTTGTTCGGACTAACAGTAATCTCCACATGCTGCCTCGACATATAGTCATAATTTAAAACAATGCTGCAGGCCGAGTTGCGGCCAATTGTGACCTTCCCATTTGGGAGGTCCACTCGCTTCCCAGTTAATACGTGCTCCAAGTACCAAGAGCTCATTGCGATATGTCTCTGTAATTTCACAAGCCATTGGAGAACATTTTTAAGGGGCACAAAAAAAAAAGCAGCTTGAGCTATCGAATTTCCGCACTTACGAAACACCGTACGGTCCTCAATTTTAGGTGGCTAGAATCCAAGGCGATCAATGGCGACCAATTGCATTCTTCTTAAACTCAAACAAATTCTTGCGACAATTTTTAGTTGCTATCCTTTTGGCATACTGGCAGCTGCCTTCGACTAAGCTCCGACGTCAGTGCTGTCAGACACAATAAAAACTAGATTCGAAAATAAGAACTAGGTCAGTACAAATTTAAAACCAAACTAAATGAGCTAAAATTTTGTTATTTACATAATTTGCTTTTCTCGCTATCTCTCTCTCTTCACTGCCTTGGATGGTCCCGTTACTTTCCCCAAGATTTAATACTGTTGATGACACTAACTGCTAGAAATGGACTAAACGGAGACTATCATATTCTCATATTGACTTAAGCACTAACGCCTGAACCGATGACACTGGGATCTAGTCCAGAAATATATATTGAATGGTTCGTGATTTAGGCCAGCCAGCCAACATATGTACATATGTATACATTCAAAGTATGACTGCCATTTCGATTACACATACAAACTAGTTGATGTACATATACAGTGTAAACTTCCATAGTCCATCCTCAATGACGTAGTGAAACACCACTTATAGAACTTGCATCTACTTACTATCTAGGAAAACATCCACTGAAAGAGCAGAATGAGAACATGGCCTTACTGTCACTTCTAAGATAAGACTAATAATGGCAGCCTGGGGATGAGACTTCACTAATGACTGAGATAATTGTTATTCCATTTGCATCGTAAAGCTTATGCTAAGGCGTTTGCTATTTAAGCCCCGCATAGCCAGGCAGACAACAGTTCTACAGCTTTACTTTCAACAGTCAATTATGTCTCTGCGTCTGGTTCTGATCTGCCTGGCTTTCTTCGTGGCGGTGTACGCCCAACCAGCTCCAGGAGCTCCACAGTATGCCAAAGAGAGTACGTAAGAGCGGAGATCGTCAGAAATATACTAATTATCCATTAAACAGCTTTACCAGTCGATGGGACTTTATTGGTCCCCTCTGCTGATGTAAATCCCGCAGATGGGGCTAAACCACGTACCCTTTTGCTGCTTCTACCTCTGCTGTTTCCCGATCAGTTCTATTAATAAAGTAATAAATGTAATAACGTTTATTTATTAATCAAGCAATCACCTTGGTTTTCCTTCATTGGCGTCACTTGGAGTGCTATTTCTCTCGTCTTTTCTTTGCACGATAGTGATATATATAGGATGAAATATCGCAGCATACTGTAGACTCCAATCACCTCTGCTCTATCGTATAATTTTGTTTCAATTCTGCATTATAATTTCAAAAACTTTTTTTTCGTCCGCCGCTCGTCTCTGGTCGTACTTAGCGATGACCAGAATACAATATTACGTGACAAAATATCTTTATAAATATTTGAATTTTGCCCATCTCTAACCGAACCAAACCAGGCTGCCAGACAGCTGCGATGTAACAGTGTCGTTTTATGTTAAAGACAGTAAAGATGTTAAATGGCAAAATGAACAGCGCTCTCACTCTCTCACTCGGATATATAAAAATTATAATACAAAAGTATTGTGGGCAAGAGTCTTGAACAAGTGTCATAATCTCTAATGAATTCTAAAGAAAGGGGCGTATGCTAATCAAGGATGCCGGACATCCTTTTTCTGCTGTTAAGTGTCTATGTTAAAAATGGCGCGGAAATTTAAACGTTGTGGTTTGTCTGCACAAGAAAAACTTCGCAAAAGTAACACAAATTCAATTTGAATCGCTATAAAATAAATATAAATATTATAATAATATGATTACAGGTTCCACGAAACCCCCTATTGGTGGAGGAGGGATATATCGTTCATTAAACCGAAAACTTGAACTTAAACTGGAACCCACATACGATATAATCGAACTGTCGCTTTGGTGGCAAATAAAACACATTTACAAGCGATTAGGTTATGTCAGTATTTTTTTTGTTTGTTTATTGCACAATTACAATATACATGTTCACTTTCATATAATTTATTACAACTAAAGATACTACAGTATACAAAAATATGTGTATGTGGGAAGGCTATTCTTCAGTTGAATCTTACTATGCACTCAATTTTGGGGTTTGGGGTTAGGGCTTGGGTCTGGTGCTGGGTTAAAGTTAACATAAACAACAGCAAATCCGCACAAAACCTAAACTTAAATATAGGCTGGGGGCTTGCTTCCCTTTCATACAAATTCCGTTTAACAGTTTCAACAGGCAGGTCCTCCACTCGTAGAGGAGCATAACAATGATTCATTCCAGTGCTTTTCTTATATTCATTTTTTAGCTATTCATTGGTGGTCAGGTCTGGTCAGGGGGGTGGTGGGTGGGGTTTAAGGCATGCTTAGAGTACTAGATATAGTGACGATTATCTAATATGGTACATTCACTTTTTCATTCATTTTTTTTTGTTTGCTCGGGTGTTTTTATGTGTTTTTTTTCGCATAGGATTTTTTTATAAAAAAAATTACAATATAAGAATTTTGTTTTAAGCTTAACAAAAACGCAAGCTAACTAAACTAATCGATTGGCTTGGATTGGATGGGGGGCCGGGCCCCAACCAATGCAATACAATACAATAAATATGTTTTCGTTTCCGTTTTATGGTTTGTATCGGGGGAGGGGAGCGGGGGGGTCGGGCTTTCTATGCACATATAAAAATATTCATTAACATTCTTATATATTTGTTGCTCAAGTCTTAAGAATAGAGTTGGTTTCAATATGAATTTAAAAGGTATCGAACACACAATGTGCGCGTTGTTTTTGTTGTTGTTGTGTTGATGTGGGGGGGGGGGGGGGGGGGAGTCAGGGCATGTATGTGTATCTCTTAGTTGCTCTTAAATGGTCATCAGTGGGGTCAATTTGTACAACTGACTATGAGTCTAGTTAGGGCTAAATGTTAATGCTAAATACGAATAGGGCTTACAATAGAAATAGAAATATCATTTCTAGCATGGTTCGGTTCTCTTGCTGCTGGTGCGCACACACACGCTCTCGATAAGGCACAGATATTTGTTACATCAGTTGTTTTATACACATAAATACTTGTTGCTTAATGAAAATAAATACTACATTAATTACAAAAATGTACAGCGAAGGTAGGACAGGGCAGATGTTGCTACACCTCCACGCCATAGTTGCGATCCACGACATAGTCGTAGCGTGCCTGATCCGGCTTGGCTGCTCCGTCTTCAGCAGCTATTGCTACGGCAGGAACAGCAGCAGCAGCATCTATAGGGGTGGCTGGTGCGGGTCCAGTAGTGGTTGCTGGGGCTGGCAGTTTCGGGACTGCTCCGCTTGCGGCTCGATGGTGGTGCTCACTGAGATTCTTGTTTCGATTGTTGCTCGCCACCAGCGCCGTGTTGATGGCAATTGCCGTCTCAGCAGCATTGTCCTCATCCTCATCATCGTCCTCTTCCTCCTCCTCCTCCTCGATGGGATTGGCATCGGGCAAAGTGAACTCGCTGGGCAGCTCCGGTACGGACAGGCCCTTGCGTGTGAAGAATGTGATCTTCTCTCTGCAAAAACAAATACAAATAAATACAAAATAATCGAAGAAAAACCCTCGTGGCTAAAAACCCACTTGAATGCCACCAAATCTGGGCAGCCCTTGGGCACCTTGGTCTTCCGCAGCTTGTGGACTTCTTTGGCGGTTTTCATTAGCAACTTCTGGAGCTGACGCTCCTCGGGACATTTGGCGGGATCCGCGCGAGCCACCAGACGCTGGAATTCCTCATTTTCAATGGCCCAGGCGGCAATAAGGGGATCCTTGTTCTCACAGGCCTTTTGCAAACTGTTGAACAATAAAGGAATACAATTAGTTGGCCATTTCTTTGCATTGGGCTGATCAATCTGCACTTACACTTCCTTGAGGTTCTGCAGCTTGGCAATTTGATCGTTGAGGAAATAGAGCTTGCTGTGCTGCGCCTGCAGATCCAGCTCCAGGTCCAAACTGGTGCGCGGTATGTGAGTATGATGCAGTTCTGGAATGAAATCAATGCTTAGTAAGTCTCGAGAGTCCAAGGGCTGGCTTTCGTTTCCACTTACTTGTGACTGACTTGGGCGCCTTGGTGTGGAAGCGCAGGGAACGTCGCTCAGCGGCTCCCCGCTGGAACGTGTGCGGTGCAACGCCACAGTGCATGGCCGAGTCCGAGTCGCTACGATTCAGGCGACAATTGTATCGATTCTTGCTGACCGCCGCCGATGGGGTAAAGGTCTGTGAACGCTTCACGGGCCTGTCGTCCATCAGCTGGGAGTGCGAGCGCAGCTTCTCAGGCATGAAGGCGCTGTCCGTGTTTGTTTCCTTGTCGGCGTACTCCTGTTTCATGTTCTGCAGATAGGCATCCAGCATGCAGCCAGCTATTGATTCAAACAAAACCGAATCCGTACGTTAGTTCTGGGAATGTTTACAGAATCGAAGGCCATTGCTTACAGTTCATTAGGCCCACATCGCTGACGAGCTGGTTGCTGTCCTCCTCCTCCTCCTCCTCATCATCATCCTCATCGTCATCGTCGTCGCTGCATTCCTGGCCATTGAGGCGTCCGTTCTGCGGCAGCTCCTCGGCTATCTGCGCCTGCATCTCCAGGGGCGGCGCCTGATTGCGTGTCAGGGTCGAGGTCTGCGACGAAGTGATGGTCGACTCATCCGAAGACTCCTCCCTGTTGTTGTTGGTGCTGCTGCTCGTCGAAGAGTTGCTGGCCGCAACGGCGGCTGCTGCTGCGGCGGCACTCGTGGAGGGAATGTCCAGCGACTCGAAGCTGGGAATGAATTTCGAACTGAGAACATTGTACCACTTCAAGGTGGAGTCCTCCGGATTGAACTCGGCCATGCTGATCTGCACAGTGCCCTGAAAGACAACAGAAAAAGGAAAGTAATGAGAATGGTGCTCGTTCGTTTGGGGGTTCTTCGGGATTCCTTACAATGATCTCCTCCTTTTGGCCTGTCATTGAGACGACAGTCACCTGCAGGCTCTTGGTCAGCAGCTTGTCCAGCGTTATGGGCACCGCAAATGTATCGTTAAAGACGGGCTTCTGAAAGTCCCCCAGCGCCTTGGTCCGTATGGAAGTCAGCGAATTGGGCAGCAAGGCGGCACGCAGATAACTACAAAAAGGGGAAAATCAGCTAATGGCGGACTTTATATCATTTTTGTGGCACTTACACCTGAGAGTTGTCCGTCGAGGCTGTCCACAGGGCCAGCAGGTTGTTGGCTCGCTCCAGGGACACCACCAGGACACCCTTTTGCTTCAGATACTTGAGTCCGATCTGGACCTGGGCCAGCTCCTTGCGCGGCAGATGGGCCCGCGATGCCTCAAAAACGCCCGAATCTCCTGCAACGGACTCGTTGCTGACGGCCGCCGATACGGAGCGCGTGTTCGAGGTGGACGACGAGCGGCTGAGCATCTCCAGCGGCAGATCCAGCAGCGAGGGCTTCTCCGAGATGGGCGAGAGCGGGGCAGCGGCCAGATTGTGCGGCGAGTTAAGGTTCAGCTTCTGCAGCTTCGCCTCCAGCATCATGCAGTCGAGCACGGTGGAGTCCAGGTCGTAGGGCCGTGCGCGCACCCCCGGTGCCGTGATGGGCACTGGGGGAGGGGCTGTGTAGGCGGGCGGGGCGGGCAGAGCATTGGCATAGGTGGGCTCCTCCTTGAGGGTATGGGGTAGCGGCGGCGGCGGCGGGTGCTGATCGGCCACCGCATTGTATTTCATTGGCGATGCGGGCGGCGTTTCCATCGACAGGCTGCTGCGCGGCGACAGGGACACCTCCGAGGACTGCTGCTGCTGCAGCACAGGATGGGCATGGATCGGGGGCAGGCGCTGCTGGTGCTGCTGGAAGAGACGCTGCGAGCGGCGGCGCAGATCCACCACATCGATGGGCGAGTCGACGGCAAAGGGATCGATGTAGATGTCCGTGAAGCTGAGGGCGCTCTTGCTGCTGGCCGTCGACAGGGAGCCCAGGCTGCTGCCGCTGCTGATCGAGAAGGTGCTCTCCGAGGAGAACGACTTGAGCCGCTCCTCCAGCAGCTTGGTGGACTTGAGGGCCTCCTGCAGCTTGTCGAGCAGCAGCTGTTTCTCCTCGTGGAAGCGCAGACGATTGGCCACGCACGTGTTGTTCGCCTCGTACGCCTCCCGGAGGTCGTCCTCGAGCTTGTTGCGCGTCTGCTGGATCACCTGCTTCTCCTCCTCGCTGCGCGACTTCAGCGAGATGCTGTTGAGGTCGTTCAGCAGCTTCTCCTTCTCCTGGATGAGCAGAATGCGATCCTTGTCCGACTCCAGTTGGCCGGGCTCGATGCGCTCCACGTGATCGGCCAGCTGCTGCTGCAGCTTCTTGATGTGCTTCCGCCACTCGGCGTACTGCAGCTTGGTCTTGGCCATTTCCGCAAATCGGGCGCCGCCGTTCAGATGCTCCCCGGCGCCGCCGCACAGATCCGTCTGGCTGGCCACGCACACCCGATCGAAGGGCGAGGCGGCGTTCATCAGCTCCGCATTCTCCTCGTTGATCTGCTGGCGACTCAGCTCGTTCTTGATCTGGACCAGGCTGCGCATCAGCTCCTCGCGCACCTTCTCGCCGGACACCAGCGATTTGTGGACCTTCAGCATCTCCTCCCGTATGGCCTGCACCTCGGCAATGTCATAGCAGCCGTTCTGCCGGGCATTGATCTTCTCGCCCACCGAATACAGGGTGTTCATGCCCCGCTCCGTGTACGATATATCGTTGGTAATGTGATTCAGCTCCTGCTTCAGCTGATGGACTCTCTCGCGGGCCAGCATCAGGTCGGCACGCAACAGTTCCGGATCGTGACGGCTCATCGAACTGGAGGAAGAGCACACTGGCAAAAGGAAAGGAAAACGAAAGGTTAGGGCATCTTCCTGGCTCTCTGGTTCTTTTTTTTTGTGCTATACTCACGGCTACTGCGGCTGGCGGCCAGCTTGTTGAGATGATTGTACTCCTCCTGGGCCCAGAGCAGGCGCTGCTGTTTCACATCCAACATCTCGCGCTTGTTCTCCAGCTGATCCTGTGCCGCCGACAGATAGTCGCTCAGCATCTGCTCCTGCACGCTCTTCCACTCCTGACGCGGATCCTCCAGCTGTGTGCTCTGCGCCAGATGATTGATGTAGTAGGGCCCGATATTCGGATCGTAGGACTCCTCCCAGCCCATGGGCAGCTCATCGCCCACACAGTCCTCGAATGTTTGCGGTTTCGTATAGCTGTAAAAGAAGAGATAGCGCTCCGTTAGTACGTCTGTGTTTACATATTGACAACAAATCGCTAATGAATTTCCGCCCCTATCTAAGATGTATCTCCGAACGGAACGGAACGGATAGGAGCGGATAGGAACGGATAGGAAGAACCTGTTTAACCGGTGGAGGGGCAGTGTCTCCGGTGTCTCTGTCTCTGGTGTATTCCCACGCCAGTTAGTCCCAAGTATTCGGTGTATTTGGTATTTCTATGCGATAAGATTGCCGGCATTTCGTTTCCTTTCGGCCAAGACCGCGGCTCTACCGCGCTGCCATGCGGTGGAATGTCTGCTGCCTAATCTTATCGAGGCCATATTCGCAAAGTGCGGCAAAACAACACAAAAAAAAAAAACCTGGCCTGGCCTGGCCTGAAAACCCAAGCAAAAACTGATGACGATGACAATGTCTTTGACGTCGCCTCTCCCTCTCCCTCTCCTCCTTCGCATTCCAACGATAATTGCTAATCTTCGGGTATTGATTGCTTAAACAGTTTAAGTATTGTATCTGCGGGTAGACCAACATTTTGCGGTTGCCATTTCAATTGAATATATATTTTATTTATTTTTGGTTTTCGATGAGGGCTCATGGGCCTGGAATGCTGTCTGACATTCAAAAGAAAAGCCATATATAGGATAGACAGTGCGTTTCTGCGTTGTAAAACCTTTTGTGGCCTGCAGGTCAATGTTCGATATCTGATTGTAGGCGAAAGATTGATGCAAAAGTTCACTAAACGATCGCCAATGGGTCTGCTATAGAAAAAAGACGCTACTTTAACAGCGGGGGACAATGAAATAGTTGAACAAGGGTCTATAATACTGCAACAAGAGCTGGGAAGACTGGAACTAGCAACACGCAGATAGAGCCTCCCATTAGGAACACTGGGAAGTGGGAAAAGAGCTGTGAGTAATGGAACCAGAACGGAAAACAGTGAAATATTGAAAGTAGGAACTGGAAGATTTATAAAAGAATTTGGAACACTGGGAATGGGATCTGGGAGCACTGGAACTAGCAAGAACTGGAAGATATCTAGCAGCTACTCCAAACGGAAAATAGCTTTGAGTATTGGAACAAGAACAGAGAACACTGTAATATTGGAACTAGGAACTGGAAGATAGATACTCCCATTAGGAATACTGGGAACTGGGACAAGAGCTGTGCGTATTGTATGAAGCACGGAGAACACTAAAATATTGAAACTTCGAACTGGAAGATATCTAAAAGAATATGGAACACTGGGAAGTGTGGAATAAGATATGGGTGCACTCGAACTAGTCAGAAATGGAAGATATGTGGCTTCTCCAAATGGGAACACTTGGAAAAGAGCTGTGAGTATTGGAACAAGAACTGGGAACACTGTAATATTGTGACTAGGAACTGGAAGATATCTAGAAGACTTTGGAACACTGGGAACTGGGAAAGCAGCTGTGAGTATTGCATCAAGAACTGGGAACACTGCAACTGGCACAGTGGGCTCATGTTTTAGGTTGATATCCGCCTAAGCCTGATTACACAGAATGGTAGAAGGTCATCTTTTCTCCTTCAAAGGACACTGCACTGTACTTTAATATGTTATATAGAAAATCCATTAATAATAGATATTTGGCAAAGAAGATTGTTCCCAGCTTTGGATCCCAGGCACAAACCGAGGGGCACTGCCGTATGACGAAGGAAATTTAATGGATCCCTTTAATATATAGAATATATAGAATCACAGAATGAATCTCCTTCGAATGGAACCGTACATGAGTACCTATATATATTCTAATCTATGAGAATAAATGAAACTGAAACCGTTATCAAACTGTGCCAATCATCGGCCATTAAAATGAATCGGTTTATTCAGTTGTCGAATAATATAAGTGACATATGCAATGCCTTTATTTATAGACAGATAATGTACTCCTCTATGCGGTTTATTCAATGCTATATTTAGTGATTAATAGCCATTATCTAGTACCCAAATAAAAGTGTAACGCTTTTCGTTAATAATTTGGCAGATGCCCCGAGAGTTCCCATTATTCTTGGAATAATATCTGGACATGGTCCCCTCTGTTTCTTGGACCTTTTTTCGTATATTCTTTGCTCATTTTTATCTGGAATCAAGTGTTGACGCATTCATTGGAAATAAAATTGTACGCAGCTGCGTTTAACAATTGAATTTGTTTATGATCTAGCCAAACAATCTAACACAACATCCAATGGCAGGGATCTCCGATTCATCATCAGGGTGCTTTCAAGTGTTGGCAAGCTCTCAATCATTAATCAGAACCCCTTAACTTCTCATTCGCGCTAATCTTTTGTGTTATTTGGAGGGATTTGTTGAGCAAACATACAATAATTCACGCGATAGTAAATTGATTTTCTTTCGATTACGAACGATGACGTCTTTGGCTAAGAGAGCGTCATTGCAAATGTTTCTACCAGAAATCAAAGATATATGTCAGAATAAGAGCCGAATATTTCGGTCTTTTTGGTTTAAACATAAATGTAATGATATGCAGTGCCGAGCTTTTTCATCGCAAATTATCAAAAGAAAAATAGTTTTTTCTATAAGATTGTCTAATTTTTATAACTGTAATTTTATTTTAATTTTTTTATTTTAATTTACTTTAATTATATTTTTTTATTTTATTTTAATTATATTTTTTTATTTTATTTTAATTATATTTTTTTATTTTATTTTATTTTGAATACAAAATTTTTTTTTTGTATTTTATTTTAATTAATTTTTTTTATTTTAATTACATTTACAATTTACATTTGAATATAAATAGAAATTTGTAGGAAATATATTTAATTTAAATATAAAATATATTTAATTTAAATATAAAATATATTTAAATCCACTTTTTTATATTTATGTCAAAATTACGAGAACAAAGTTTTTTTTTTAAATTTGGGTCTATTTTTTTTGAATTTAATTTTAAATATTAAAACTTTCCTGGTTGTAGAAGATTGTAAAACGCTTTATATTTTCTAGAATTGCTCAAATCCTACATCTTTCGATATAGCACATAGATCGGCTGGATTTCCCTCGAAATGCTATCGAGGGAACGTGCACTTGGTCAGGGAGGCCTAAAGAGTCACGGGCGATGGCCGATTACCTCGGGTGTGGGTGGGTACGGGTATTTATGGTGTATTGATTGGACTAGGAGCACAGCACGCGTTTATTGATCAGAACAAGGTTCATTTCATACAATCGCAAATCGAACAACAACAAAGAGGCCAATCAATAAAGACAAAGACAGAAACAGAAACAGAAACAAAGGAAAAGGCGGCAAAACTGCATCAACGAAAAATAATAAATAATAAAATAAATAAATAGAGCCAAGCTGATATACAAAATGCAGTCGGAGACATGTGCCATGTGTCGTCCCAGCACCAGCACCAGCTCCAGCCCCAAGCTCCACAAAGCCGATCTCACGATCGACGGAGACAAAACATGAGAGATGGTGACGGGGGGAGGGGCATGGGGCATGGGGCTTGGGGCTTGGGGCTTGGGGCAAGCAAAAACGGTTTCATAATTTCGAATCAACAAATTTGTTGTATTTATTTTGTCAGTGATATTTTGTTGTTCTGTTGAGCAGTAAATGGCACACAGTTTCATATCGTCGCCCCACAGTCTTTGTTTATTTCGATTGAACTTTGTTGGAAAAATAAAAGCGGAGAGCCCGTATCCCCACCCGTACCCCCTCCTCTATCCAAGGTGTAAATATCCGTCTTCCGTTGCAGTTGTTCCAGAAACTTAATAGTCGATTTGTTATTGTTATTGTTAGTATTTCCCATTGAATACTTTTTCCAAGTCTGGCACACAGAAGTTCCATAAAAGTTTAGCAAAAGATAATAAACAAGGCTTATGATTCATGCTTTATGAATCACGCAGCTAATCTTGAAACCTAATCCTCAATGCCATAGAGAATCCTGAAAAGGAGCTCTGTTAGTTATCCGAGTTCATTGGTCTTTTCCATGACTATCGCAGAGTCAGTCACAAATCAAGTGATTATTATGTATTTTTGTTTATTATTGGATGCTTTCAGCACTATATTGTATACCAAACGAAAGTTATTGAAGCTTAGACCACTCTATTCAGAGATTTTTGAATTTGTTTTATACATACAAAATAAACAAAATTATACAAAAATTTAATTTAAATTTTTGCTAAAAACTGTTTTTTATTTGTAAAATTTAAATTGGAATTTATTAAAAAATGTTATACAAAATTTTAACTTCAAATTGAGGTATATAAAATTTTTTGTTTTTATATGAATTATGTTCTTAGTTTTTTAAAATAATAACGCAATTTCTTTTATATATATATATTCAAATATAATTCAATAATTTCAATATAATTCAAAACAAAAAATAAAAATTTGTTGTACTAAAAATTTAAATTAAATTTTGTACAATAATTTTTTATTTTTGGTGTATAAAATAAATTGCATTAATAATGTTTAATGTAATGTTTTTTTAATATTTAAAATTAATAATGCAAGTTATTTTATAAATATAAAATACAAAAATACGACAAATTTAATTACAATTTTTGGTATACAAAATTAGTAGAAGTTTTATATTTTTAAAAGAAAATTTAATTTTAAAAAAATATTATTATTATTTATTTAAAGAATAGCCCATGCAAAAAAAAAAACCCTTTTTTGGACTTTGATTTTTTGCAACTCATGTATTAAACTCCATTTTTTGGATCCCTAGAAAGAGATGTACGGAAAACCCAGCTGCCACATACGAAAGATACATAGATACATTTCAGGAACGTAACTCACGAAACGGATGGAAAACCGACCTTAGAAAAATTTGAACAGCACAGAACATATTGTTTCTCGATGGAAGACTTTCTCGATGCATCTCTCTGTAATCTTTTATTCCTTGCCCATCGAAAATTTATTCGTTGCTGCCCCCATGCTCCCCCCTGGCCTGGGGTTTTCTTTGCTATAGACAATCGGAAGCCCTTG